TGCAAAAAACGATTTTGGTAAAAACCGGAAGATAATTATATATAAGGTATATGATATTATAAGTATGTAAGTAAAATGGGTACTGACATCAAAGGGCAAAGCATTTCGTAATAATATATAAATTCAATTGTAAAATGTTTATTCAAACGTAATCAGCAGGGTACCAAGAATTTTTCGAATGTGTAAAGCTGTTAGGTACATTGTGTATTGAATTCAAGAATTGCGTGCAGATTTACAGGGTTTCTCAAATTTTTAAATTATTAAATCATTAAATCAACTGATTCTATTATTAAATTTATATCTATTAAGTATATTCGTGTATAAAAAATACGTAAAAAAAAAAATAATTATTACAACAATCATAATATAAAGTATTATCTATACTCAGTATTTAATATTTATATTATACTTCTTATCCTCTTTGAATAAAACATTATGTGTTTTTGAAATATGAATCACTGACGTATGGTACGTGTGTCAAACACCCAAACTGTGTTTCTTGTTAAATGTTTTGTGATGGTTTTTATATATAATTTTGTTCAACGGGAATTTTGAGACACAATTGTACACATCGAGTAGGTAGAGAAACTACATTTTAGGTAGGTAATAAAAATGTATAATATTGTATACACAAAAAAACCAAAATTTTGAACGTAGGAGGGGATAACATAACATCGAAATTAGGTCCAAATAAATATTTGAATAGTATATCATGTTAAGTGTTTATGAACTGTTCGATCCGTAAATATTGTTCCTGTAATACACGTGTATTTTATGTTAATGATTAGTATTAATTTAAATAGAAGAAATGGAACCTTATATTGAAATCACTAAATATTTTTCTTATCCGAGTAAGTCTTTATTCTTTATTATGACTAGAATAATCTAAATAATAAATATTATTCAATAAAATGCTTACTTTTTAGTATTTTGCGTATAAGAATAACAAACAAAATTTAAAATTTAACTATCTATTGTCAAATATGTAAACATAAACGTTATTGACTCATAAAATCATGTGTACCGTTCAATCAATGGCAAGTATCCAATTACACGCTGTTTAGCATAATATTTTTGTTAGCTATGATTATGTGCTATGTATAATAACTGTACTCGTATATCCAATTTTTAAATCGGTTATAATTTAAAACTATGATAGTTCGCTTTCTAAGTTACTTTAAAATAAAATATTTAACTTGGAGAAAGTTATATTATAAAGAATATAAATTATTCTTTCCTAATATGTTTTATTTTCTTCTATATTACGTGACCAGTCATAGACACGAAGTCGATACTTATTGCTTATACGATTATGATAACTCTACATTGTTTGTATCGTATTATATATATTGTTTTATTTTGTGTTTTTGATTGTTGAATTTAATAAAACGTAGCACAAACTTGTCCATGATTCTCAGAGTTTCTAATTTCCATTTAAAATTTTTTTATTATTTTACAATTTTACTTATATATTTTATAGTTAGTGCTTACAATTCTGTCACAATAAGAGTAATATTAACATCGTTTAATATATACTCTACTATATACTCTATATATCTACTCGATTCCAAGATGACGGAACTCTTGTGCACATGTTGGTTCTCAGTTTAGGGAATGAAGAACTTTCAACTAATGTCTAAGGTAGGGGAGGATAGATATTTATTATTAACGGCCTTTAGAGGTTGCCGTTTGGGGTGTTTGGAAGGGGCTGATAACTTGTATGCGTATAGTAGTGGACACCATAATGAAATAGTTAATGGGAAATAATTGAAAAGGGAGCACTGAAGAGGGAAAAGAGCTATAGTTTTTGTTAACTTACTGAAAAAAAACTGAAATATAAAACATAGTTGGGTATGTACTCGTATAAAGGTTATTTACCTATTACTTTTTTTTTTCCAAAATCATAAATCTCACTTTTTTTTTTTAATGCGAAACATTTTTTTTGACATACAATCATTATATTGTTATAATTTGTTGATTTAATACTAAGAAAATTAATAGTTTATTTTTATTTTTTACAATAATACACCTATGGACGGTCACGCTTTTTTCTTCGTTAAAATTATTATTATACACAAATATCTGCATGTTAACGGATATAAACGTAAGGACAAAGTCTTTTGTCAGGTACAAGGTGTATTCAAACTATTTTCAAAGAAATCGCTTTTTCTACCTGGGATACAGACCAAGTGGTCAGCCCAGGATGGCAGGATTAGCATATAATACACATATAGATAGTACGCGGTGCACATGTGTCGAAGATTATAATGTGTACAATAATAAAATATACATTTTAAATGTCCGTATCGACCCTGAATCGGCATTTTCAAAACTCCTGGTGGTATTTTGTATGATGTATATTTTCACAATGAATGGTAGCCTGGTGTTATTGGAAATGTATAATGCAAAAATATACACACATACATAAACTATAATACATCCTTCCAATTTTAATACCCTACTAAATATTATAAGCCACACGCGCGTGGAATACGTATACCACCGAATGTCGTGATAATCCGTGTGTTTGAAATATTTTGTTTAATTTACATATTGTTATACACAGCCTAGTTATGGAAGTTCTGACCAGAATAAATAAAGTAGGTATTCCTACGTTTTTGGCTAGTGATATGAATAAGAAGGGGGTATTATTTTAGCCCTTCATTTTAAACGTATACTATTTATTTGTTTAGGGTGAGCCTTTTGAACCATACTTAAATTATTAAAATAGTATTCACAAATACTAAATTTTATATTCTTTTTCGATGGAAATTCGAATTATATTTTTTGTATTTCGGTCAGTTTACTCCTGATGTCTATTTATTTATTCATTTTGTTTTTCATAAAAAAAACCAATTCAAATTATTCTCCCTTTGGTGAATGATTCAGACTACAGCTCACTCGTATATGCAAGATTTGCTGACCCCTATATTATAGCCCGCCCCCGAGCCAACATCTGCGATGTATTGGGGAATATAATGAATATACGTGCGGCAAACATTCACAGAGCTGTATTACTATAATATATTCAGTGTACATATATCCAGTTTCGAGACAAAAACTACCCTCATTTTTGGGGATTTTTCGCTTATATGTATATGGATTACGCATGCACGGTCGCTCTATTTGCGAGGGTATTAGAATATGTCACACACAAACAACGATCAATATCTAAATGAGTCATTCTGTGAGTTAGTGAAATCAAAATGTCCTTTTGTACATAACTAAAATAATTGTTGTAATACTGTAGACAATCACAAACGACCAATCTAACATCATACTTGTACCTTACTAATATAATGTATATGATCAGTATATGAATCTATAAACTTATAACATATAGTATACATTAAGTATTTTGTCTTAATGTAATCGATGATACAAATTGATAACATCAATTGTATAAGACACCAAAAAAGCAAGATTTCAATTACATTATTTGTTTTTTAAATATTGCAATGTAACAATATTTTAAATTTTTTTTCTTTTGTTGGTGGTCAGTATTTTAATTATTATGACATGCAAAGTATACTTCGGTACCTATATTATTCTGGTATTACATATAATTGTGTGTATTTCTATCGTATTGTGTTATATATTTGAAATTATAAATAAGAAAACATTTTTAATGTTAATAACTTATAAATAGGTATTATTTTTATTACTTTGAAAAGTATATTCTTTTAAAAACAATATTTGACTTAACCTAGAATATCTACTGTCAATAATTCGTTAAAATGTGTAATAGACGTGCTTTTGAATTTTTTATTGGGTTAAAGTTGCGTATACGATTCGTCAAATTTAAAGAGAGACTTGATAGACAGTTCTACTCCTTTGTCAAATATACATACACCCTAACCACAAGGAAATTATTAATTCATATAGCCTTGGTATAAAATTCAAAAGTGGAATTTCAGAGGTAAATTGACCAACTAACGACTGGTCATTATTTATATTTAACTGACTTATTGGACTCGTTCGACAGGCAGTTTGGTGTATAAATTTAAATTTCCCGTCACCTTTCGTGTTTGTTTCCCCTCAAAAAAGGGGCTCCCTATAAAAAAAAAAATATAGTCCACTGAGGTTAAACGTAATAAATGGCCATAGGGTGTTTAGGTTGTCTTTTTTGGCGCGTTACGTTCGTATAAATAAGACACATCACTTCTGACTAAATCGCACTTTCGAACACGAAATGTCACCCTTGGGAATACATACTACTTATGGCCTTTATCTTTTTTCACTCGTCTTGTATAATAGTTCAATGTGTTTTGTGAATCCCTAAGTCTTTCTTATGAAACTCGTGAATTTTCATATGTTCGTTGTGGTCATTTTTAGCAATAGGAGCCGCTGTTAGATTTTTCACGTTTTATTTTCAACGACTTTCCATTTGTATTAATATTGTGAAAACGTGATCAGAGTTATTGTTATTAGATATGAAAAAATGTATAAATAAAAGTTTTTCTTTACTATATTTTATTTCATATAGGTTTGGTATTTCAAGCCCATTGGGAAATTAAGAGTGGAGTCGAGTTTTAGAAATTAAACGATTTAATATATTAACTTTGATCATTAACAAACTTGAATTTACCCATGGGAATATGTATCGAATTTTTCCTTAAAAATATCCTATATATATATATATAAGCGATATAAATATATAATTGGAAATTGTTAAAAATATTTAAAAAAAAATATATATATATAGCTTCTAATATCACGTGTTGTATTTTGTCAATAGCTTACCCTTCGTTTATAACCGCTGCTTTGGTCACGTCCCGTGACAAAAGGAAATGTGTGTATAAATCAGGTCCTTGTATAATATCTCGTGCCAGCTCTATTCAAAAAATTTCGACCGATTCCCTTTAGGCAGTGTACGCGTGAAGAACAGAAACACAACACAACAATCCGCATAGCACGAGCTCACAACCCTTTGAGACAGACCCCTCTTTATAACGTGAAATTGAATAGTGTAATGATAATAATTTATTTTTCTTTCACAGGTACTGATGCCGAGAGTATTAAAAGTGTCAAGTCTCAATCACCTATTCCAGAAGAAGGTAAGTTAAAAAATACTTTTATCTAGACTATGTAGTTTAAGTTAGGTAAGTAATATACACTATACTACTTACGTAAAAATATCTCAAATATTTTATATGCATATTTACTCTGTATAATATAATATAATATTATATACCTACGTAATACCATGTATATTTTACATACTCATAAAATAATGAATTTGATCAATAACAATGTCGTATAGTGAATATTATACAGCTCATATGGTTTAACCTCGATCATAACATCAGGGGTCAAATTCAAGTAAATGTAAAACCTTATAAGAGGGTGAAAATGGGGTAAAAAAGATTTGCTCCCTATATTTCTGCATATAATATAAAAACTGCATATAGCATAGGCTCAATTTGTGTGTTCGTGAACCCGTAAAACTATATTTTTGGCTTTAAAATCAACCCCTAATCGTTTATGGGAAAATATTTCTCGTGATTGACACTGAACGAAATTTACTTTTCGGAGTAAAAAGTACAATTTAGCCCGCATATAGGGGTAAAAGTGATTCAGCAAGATTTTCATTTATGTGTAAAGATAATAATACTTACTAGTTTCAAAACTTGTCCTAATTTTAACATTAGTGAGCACACTTAAAAACTATATTTATTTTATTTATATTCAACAAAACTAGACATACGGGCACCAGCATAATTAAGAGATGATCTGATATTACTGATTGGGTATAAAATCTGGTGCAACCCTCAATATCAATGGTCATCACCATTCAGCCCTAATTATAATAGGATGTAGTCGTATAGATAATACTTAAAGTATAAAGAAAATTACATTTATAATAATTATAAATTATATTTAATATAAAAATGAAACGTTAACATAATGTATAATATAATATAATCTGTTTTTTTTTTGTTTAACGAAACTATAATTTAAAGATTACAACCGAGTAAAATTGAAATGTCAGTTAAACTAGAAAAACTATGTTGGCTTTATAAATTGGGCGTGTGTACACGCATTCAATGGGTTAAAAAGGGTAGTTGGAAGCCATGTTCAATGCAAACCCTCGTTTGCATAACTAACCAATTGCAAAAATACACGACTTAGATGCGGGGTTATTTTTTTATAATCGTTTTTTATCCCTACATACGATTCATCATCGGCCCAATCATGATGCTGTATTATAGAAGCGTAAATTATTCGATAATCATTTTTTTAAACCCTTTTTACAAAAAGGGGTGAGACTCGTGGCAAATGACACCCCTTCGTGCACGAGCCAAGCCACACAAAAAGTATTATACATCAAATGATTTATGTATAAATTGTATGTACTAATGTCTAGTATGAAGCTTGTTAAAACTTTTAAATCAGTTATGGAACGATTTTTTTTTTCATTACAAAACTATGATTAATATTATCTTTTGTGTTATAGATGATAATGGTGAAGAGGAAAGGGTGGAAGATATCGTTGATCACAGCGAGGACAGTACTGGAAGTGATTTGTTGCTCAACTCAGATGGATCACCAGATAGAATTGGAGCATTAAATTTGGTAAATTTTAACAAAGTACATGTTATAGGTGTAACTAATAAAAATGTTCACTATACAACTCGAGCTAATGACCTTTTTTTCGAACCATCTATAGTTGCAAAAATACTTTAATAAAATAATATAATAATATACCTATTTTACTTCATTACTCGTACATTAAAATATATAGGAAATAGCACTTTTAAGCTTATTATTTCAATATTTGTATTTAAAACTACACACCAATGTGCATAACGGCATAACCCTAGCACCAGCTCAGAGCTCTGGTTCATTACATGTATGGATCCCTTTATAATTTAATTGTCAACTTTAAGTAAAAAACGAATATTTTGATTTAGTTAGACAAATTTGGCAAGACTCAATCGTTATTACTGTTATTAGTTATAATTTATAACTTATAAATTATATGATCGATCGAGATATTTATACACAATATTTAAAACTAGTCGTGTCTATCATATAAATCACAATGATTATTCGTGAAATGCGTTTACTGGTTACGCCCACATTGTGTTGTAGGCATACTATGATGTACGACGGATTGTAAGCGTTTATGTTCTCAACACTTGAGCAAACGGTATCATAACAGGTCGTTCGTCGCTGCGAATTTTACGGCGCATCTACCTACAATATTATATGTACCTACATGATATGCAACATGACCATCAGTCCCGCGCGTGTACGTGCACCTATAATAAACGCTCGCACTCACTCGCCACCAAAATGTGGATAATAATGATTGTAATATTAAAACGTCACAAGAACAAAAAAAAACGGGCTCTAACTCGCGGTTTAATATCATATGTTATGTATATAAAGCGTATTCGGCCATAAAGTGTCGGGTGGTGTTTGTTTTACGCCTTGTCGTTAGGTGTTTTACCGGAGCCCCGGGGGACATGCGTGATTAGAGGCGCACAAACTGCTGCTACCCGACGATTTAATAAATTCCACGCTCGCCACTAATTACGCGTAGGTATCCGTTTATAATTTCTTGTACAATAACGCTCGTGCAGAGAAATCACGACGGCGGTTGTATAATAACGACGCGCGCAATATTATGTTTGACGTTTTCTATATAATGTATTATGGTAAACACACACATACACATATTTTCACGTATAATATATTATAATATCGTATCTCATGTATTATTATATGTATATACAGCATTACTGTGATCATGTGCAGGGGGCGTTAACCCACAGGCTCAATAATTATTTAAGTCGTTTGGAAAAAAATTATCCTGTGAGCGCATATTTCTCTCTCAAGTTCTATTTGGCTCCGCACTCTATATTTATTTCTAATGTGATATATTAATAATTTTCAGACCTAAAACATTATACGCACAAAGCACCTATGTATACTGTATATATTATATAATATACGTATATGTTATGTACGCGAATGGTAATTTTCCCCACGCCTAATATATAGGTTAGGGGTGTATACATATTATTATACGCGTGTATAGATCGATCTGTTTTCATTGTATAATAATACGATGTCTTATATCGCTGTAATATATTCCGAGTGTCCGGTCAACATGCCTTTGATACGCGTTAGACTTCTTTCGTCCGAATATTTAAACATTTACAGTCTATTGAAGATTATACATCGATAGGTTTCCTATATATATATTATACATAATATTATGTGTGGCTCGAGGTTATCCAATATTCGACCCTTCTTTAATATAGCCTGGTTCAAAAAGAGTGCGAACTGCGGTCAAAATAAGGGCTCGACGTATGCTATTTAAATAAATAAAAAACTCATAAAAGGCTCAAAAAATAGCCCCTTTCGATTTCAGCAAACATGCTGTGTGTGATATATATAATGTATGGGAACTCATCGAATATGTATCCACAATAAAACACACATATGAACTGTCTTGCACAGTTGCACAAATAATATAACTTATCGAATCCCATATTATATTATGTTATCCGCAATTTATATACAATTTTTTTTTACACTAGACATCCAAGATTATATACGAATTTAAAATTCAAATTCGAAATTTACCATTTTGAATTTCCATTTGAAACGTACCTATGATTTTATCGTGACACCGTATTATCATTTGTTTGAGAAATCTCATGGGTAGAAATACGACAGAATTTCGGTTAATAAATATAAGCGTAACAATAATATTAAAAATAATCGGGACGAAATACAGATGGTTTTAATACATATAGACACGCCAGCACGATAATTTGAAAAAACTGTGTCTGTCCGGTCGAATTAAATATTATATTGTTTACCATTCATTGTGTATGTTTTTATTTGACAAAACTCGTATGTATAATATTATCGTTGTCATTTATTATGTTTGTCACAGACAAGAGGTAGGTGGTTCGATTTACGTATATATTCTTGTGCGTTTCTATGCTCTATCATACGATTATACGAATTTTTGAAAAAAAAAATCGATATTTGTGGGTGGCGCTATGGGTTGAGAGGCGGGTATATTAGGGGAATGATTTTTTTTTTTTCATTAGATCTCGTGGAAAGTTTGGTGTAACTGCCGCGCCGTCGAATGCTTTATGTTGTCCTATAGCGCACGTGGCTACCCATCCCAAAAAACAACACCACGCATCGACGAGGGAAATAAGTTATAATTAAATAAAAGGAATTTTGACAGCAGTCATATATTCGCGCTCGTGCTCACTCGTATGAAGACATCGTTGGTTCGGCGAGGCAACAAAAACAATGACACACACACCCACTATATATACCTACCGGTTGATAGGAATTGATTAATAACTTTGGCGAAATGTGTAGGTACCTTTATAGACTCCTCTGCGCCACCCCCCGCCACGTTGTCAACACCCGCCGTAATAAACCTGAACGTTCTTCCTAATGGCTTTTCCTGGTCTCGGTAAAAGTCATTGGTAAAGATGGCGGCGATGGCAAATTATTATTTTCGCCCGAAAAGGTTTTCTCTCGTCGCCGTTGGACGTGTCAATTATTATTATACACACTAGTACACTACACTCTCTACCAGAATCTATACTCGCGTATATGTATGTGTATGTGTTTAGAGTATTTAGACGTTATGTATTATACATATATTTTTCTAGTGTTCTGACTGTAATCAAATAATAAAGTAAAAATTTTCTTTCAACTATAACGTATAATTCCTGATTGTCTTATAGTTATTTATTTCGTGAAAATAATAAGAAATTCGTATTGTTTGTTTTATTTACTTTTCCTCGAGAAGAAATTGTTTATCAATTATAAAAATCCAGTTTAGGTAATAATAATAATGGTTAGAAACAGATCAACTTGAATTCGGGAACAAGTCAATAACGTTTAATTTTAATAGTGGAAAAAGAGTTTTGGTTATTTAAGCAAATAGGATAACTATAATGCTAGAGGATGCATTCCGGGTGCATAAAACATTATTGAAATTTGTACCGTATTTTTATTTTTTAAATCTGAGCATCCTACCGCGTGTGTGCGTGCATTGTTTTTCTATTCGTATCGACGATCAACAGCCAAGATGTATTCGCATCGTAGGGTTTTATTTTTTTTTTGAGATATTAACGCACATTCGCGGTATCTCTTTCGCAATTGACACGCAAAGAGATAACGAGGAAACGGGGCATAAGTGTAAAAACCGTTCAGATAAAAAATAATAGTAATAATTAATAATAATAACGACGATCGCGTGCCACCGACGCGACGCGTGTACCACCTATATAACTGTATACACCTATAACGAAATAATGAAAAAAAAAAACTCGATAAAAACCTGGCAGCCGGTGTCGGGTTACATAAAACAACTCATAGTTTTTTCGGTGTATTTTACTAATATGTGTGTGTTTATTACGCACAATAATAATAATTTCGTTGTTTTTTCTCGTTTTACGCTTTTGCCTATCCATCCAAATTGTCTATCGGATACACGACATTATTGTGTATATTGTGTTACAATTTCGTATTGTACAATACACACACAATATACAATATCATTTTGTATACATACTATTTATATTATTATAAATTAGATCGCGTACTTACCGCCGTCGCTGACCTCGTGTAATGTCACGTATGTATCCCTCCGCTGCTGCGTTTGTCGTTATTTTCCAGTTTCGTTTTTCCGCGCGTCGTCGTCGGTCGCTCGCACATTATCACTGTACAATGTACACAATATAAGAAAATCCATACGTCGTACGCGTTCGTAATGCAACCGATGGCAGAAAAATTTGTAAACAAAACGATCGAAAAATCATTCGACACATAGCCCGTAATATTAATAAACGCGTTTACACGTCACGCGCACACACACATATAAACTACACGACGACGGTACAGCGCACACTGACGACGATGAAACTTTTGTGCGAAACGAGGGAGACATATTATTATCACACGCGAACTTTCAGTGTCTTTTGGTTTTTCGCGCCAATACCTGCGTGACTGCGGCGACCGACAGACAATGCCGTTGCGATTCGCAAACAAAATGTTTTCCAGTTGTCGTTTCGCGTATTGGGTTTAAATTTTCCGAGAAATAACAGTGCCCCTCCATCCATAAATAACTAAACGCTTTTTTTTTCTTTTTTCTTTTTTTTTTATATTATTATTATTATTTTTAGTTTAGTTTATTTTTTTCTGATTGCGTTTTCGTTAATCGGTGGTTCGCGTTACTCGCGATAAATATTTTCGCACAATTACTTGTTTTAAACCACGAGTTAGCGTTTATCATTTTAAAAATAAATATGATCGGCGGTATACTAATTGTAGACATTTGATTTTTTCATTAATGTTTGTGTAAGTCCAAAATTCGAGTAAATTTATATAATAATTTATTGATCCTATAATTTAATTTCGTTTTAAATTATACGTGTCTATTTCCTTACACCTATTTACCTAAAGGCTAAATGCCTTATACATGATTTGTTTAGTATTGTAGTGCACTACTTACGTCTCTGTAATTTTGCATAAAATACCAGTTTGATTGTCTCTTTATTTTTCTGCTTAATTTTTAAAGCGACTACCGTATCGTTTTAATAATATTGAAATATTAATTTATTCTGTGGACAATGATTTGTATAATATTTTCATAAAAATAAGAAATGCGTGTCTTAAAAAGCAATGAATGTTTCAATATTTGAACAGTTTTATTTACTTTTTCAGGTTTCGCACAGACATTCTGGTAGCTCTTCGAGCTCAGGTGTTAGCAGTACCGGACCGTCGGGAAATTGTTCAGCAAATGTAACAAGTGGTAGTGATCCATTAGCTGCACTACAAAGTCAGCATTTCGCACAGGTATAATTAATATTATATAATTTGTTAAATATACGAAACTCATATCTAATATGTTTTGAATATTTTGTAGATTCCTGGATTGGGAGTATTATCGCCGCAAAGTAATCCATTGATCGGAAGTCCTCCTGGAGGGCAATCTTCTCTTACTCCTCAAGAACTCCAAGCACTTTTCCAGCAACAAATTCAATATTTATTAATGAGACAGTCTACAGCAACACATCAGAATCAGACTCCATTTTTTTTTCAAAACCAAGTAAATTTAATGGAAAATTTTTTTACATATTATTTTGTACTTGTTAATTGGTTATTAATAATTAAAACATATAAAAATTAGGTCCACCAAGCATTGACTCAAGCATCACTTCAACTACAACAGATCCAACAGGCTCAAAATATGACTAACAACCATCAGCATTCTCCAGTTGGTAATGGTCCTATTCAGTCGACACGTCCAGCTGGTTCTTCAACACCATCCCATCATTCTAAACACTCTGCTCAGACCCAATCATCTAATAATGACTTGGATCCATCAGCAGCAGCCGCTCTAAGCAGACTGGCAGAAACCAAAACTAGCACTGACGATACCACCGATCTCGAAGAATTAGAACAATTCGCTAAACTCTTTAAGCAAAGACGCATTAAATTAGGTAAGAATATTATATTTTACACGAAAAATAAAAAAATTAAATTAATACATTTTATTAATATCTTAAATTATCTCTTTAGGTTTTACTCAAGGTGATGTAGGCCTTGCAATGGGAAAACTCTATGGCAACGATTTCTCTCAAACAACAATATCTAGGTTTGAAGCTTTGAATTTGTCTTTTAAAAATATGTGCAAGCTAAAACCACTGTTGCAAAAGTGGCTTGTAGATGCTGATAGCACAATGACCAACCCTAGTGCATTGTGTAATCCTCTGACAACACCAGAAGCAATCGGAAGACGTCGCAAAAAACGTACGTCCATTGAGACGTCTATAAGATATTCTTTAGAAAAAGCATTTAGGGCAAATCCTAAGCCTACATCTGAAGAAATATCTATATTGGCCGATAACCTATCCATGGAAAAAGAAGTGGTACGTGTATGGTTCTGTAACCGCAGGCAAAAAGAGAAACGCATTAATCCGCCAACAACAACTATGGCTGGTCAAACTACATCTACCAATACAGATATGTTTACCGCTTCGATGTCAGTACAAAACCAGAGTGACATGTTTCCTATGCTAACTTCTCCAGGACATCCACTAGCACTTGTATCTTCTCCTTCCATTGGAGGTCATCATCACCATCACCATCATCAAAGTAACAGTGAGTGACATTGGTCCATCTCATCGTCCCTAAACAATGGATTTGATGAGCTCGGTCAACGTAGATATTTCAGGGCTCCTATTGATGGCAAATTATCACTTTGTTAGTCACATAAAATTTTGTATTGACTTTCATATTGAAAATTAGCAACAAATTCCTATTTGAAACAAATAATTAAAAACAAAAATAAAATCAATTTAAAGATCTATCCTCGCAATACTTAATTAAGTAAATCAATAATGATTTAATTTATAACAATATAATGTTTATATTATAATATATATTGTATACCTATCTGTTTATAAATAGTTTGTACATATAATTATTATTTTGCAACAAACAAAGTAATAATGGCTAGTATTTTAATAATTAATAATACTTAGTAACTTAAATTTAGATAAGTATGTTTTTTTTTTTTTGATCTGTTGTAACAATGTTAGTGAAATATTTAATTTCTTTTCACATTGTAAATAGTAACATTAAATTTGGGGATTAATCAAAATAATGTCATCGTCGATCTGAAAATCAAACTTTTTAAGTTTTATATTGTGCTAATAAGCAATCTTTCTTTTGTTAATTAATTTATATGTAAGTAATTTTTTTTTTTTTTAATGTGTTTTTGATAAAACTGTTTTAGTAATAGTTCATACATGTAAGTGATTATTATATTAATTTTACAACTGTATTGAACTATAGTATTGAAATATTCAGAGTTATTAGTCTTGGAAAACCACCAATCAATGTCTTGCAGAACATTATGTATGTTAAATTTGTTATCGTTTTTCATTGTTACACCATTGCAGGTCGTATTTTTTTGGGATCAAATACACTGATAATGTCAATGATGTTAAAATTATACAAATACTTAACCTGGAGACTTGAAAAAAAAAGTACAATGTTTTTTTTTTTTGAAGAATTTAAAATATAATGAAACATTTAAGGAGACAATAACAACTTTCATAATTCATTGTTTGCTGTGTTTTATTAGTGTGACTTTATAACTTAAACCTATTTATTTAATACATTTTGTTTTTGTTTTTTAAATCTGTTCAAATTCAATAAACTAAATTCAAAAAATCAATAACTATCGGTTTTTGGGTCCATTCACAGCATTTGAAACTTTTTTTTTTAAATTCACATATCATTAAAATCCACCTTTTTTTATTAATTTCACAAAAGTTCCTAAAGTCTTGCCTGTATGGCAATAGTGTAGTCATTAATCAATTCTTATCATAATTTAAGCCCTAGTGATTATTTGTCAGTTATTATTTTGAAATGATTCCATTAAGTGTTTACCCAAACAATAACCAGGGATTAAAATCATCACCAGGAATATTGTAAAAAGCAAATCAACTTTTGTTTGGTTCCAAAAAATTGTTGGTAACATTATCAATCCCATACAATGAAAATATAGTCTTATAGTCGTAGGGAATAATATTATATTCATAAGTGTTATCAGCCTCTCTACGTTAGGTATTAATTTTGTTTGACAATTTAGTGGTTTTTTTTTTTTTTTTAATCTTATTATTACAAAGAACTTTAGGGATTAATATTTTTAATTTTTATTACTAATGTTGTTTTTTTTTCTATTTGTTGTTCCTACAATTATGTGTTCAGCCTTTTTCTTTGACATACCTTATAAAGCCAACCGCGACATATCCCATAATACTGACATTACATTCAAAGTAATCTTTCATTGTAGTTTAATACCTTGTTCTAGAAATGTCTTATTTGTGAATTAAAAGTTGGACTTGGATGTTTTGACTTCTTGTACAGAACACAGTAACAATGTAATGTGTATGTTCATTGTCGAGACATTTAACTCCAAAATGTGAACGGATCGAATAACCGGCCATTGAACACGTTTGATTTTAACATACATTATTTTAAAGTATGCTTATGTTTTTAATTGTGCTAAAAAGATTATTAGCACTATCAAAAAATCAGTAACAAATTTAACATCAAAATTTCAATGTATACCGTTCCATTGTTCATATCATTAGAATAGAGAGGTGTGTTAACGTAAATTAATTAATATATAAATGTGTGTGTATATTTATATATATATATATGAATATGTATTTTATACATGCGCACGCGCACACACATTATTTATATATCTATATATATATGTATAATTTTATAAATTTAAGTTAAATTAAATAGTTAATAAGAGTATTTGTGTTTTTTTTTTTATTATTATTATATTATATAAATACTAGGGGCCGTGCTATCGGTTTTGTATACGTCAAAAAGTGTCAGGTAACTAAATGCTAAGGAGAAATTCATTTTAGTCTTATTAGTATGTGTAAAATATTAAGATAATAAAACAAAGATTAACTGAAAATCCTTGTTCATTTTTTATTTTTGGTTACCTGTCATGTCACCCCTATTTCTATTTTCAATGTGTAATAAAGTATAATAGTTTTACCTAACCTATTAGCATTAACTTACTTATTTTTTTTTTTTACCCCAAACATTGTAGATCAATTTCTTTTGTTTTTGTTTTTTTTTTTTTTATGTACATAATTGTATCTTTAATTTATTATTATTATTATTATTTTTGTTAAATATTCCTTAATATAATTTTTTTTTTTTGTGAAAACTACATAAATATTACGTACATTAAAGAAATAATGCAATAATAAAGTGTTATACTGAGTTAAAAAAAAAAAAAAAATTTATGAGTTAGTCCGAGTGGTACAGTACTTTAATCTAAATTTTCTGACATAGTGTTTTTTTTGTAGTTTTGTAATATGTTGTGAAAATTATTATAATTGATTTACTTGTCTATTAAAATATAAATTCCAAATGGCAGTAAAGAAATATAATAACACATAATACACAAATATAATTTGTAGTTTTGCTACAGCTTACAAGTAATTGATTGATTAGGAAGTATAAGTTAGGAGTATACGGCGTAAGGATTATGGCCGCACAAAGTGGTTTAGATTTTTATAAAATGAACTCTTTCAAAAAATCTGTAGCATCCAGAGACGTTTGTTAGAGACAATTTGAATTTGACAAACTAGATATTTAATATCTTCTAACAATTATCTTTACTTGTAAACTATTGATTAAATTAGGTTGTTGAAAAAAATAAGAGTTAATAATTTAAATTTAAAGAACCTAAATTTATAATATATTTTTTTATGGTGAACTGGTCCAGGTAGACATCTATGCATTTACACTTGCATCTTCTGCCACTGCTGTATAATTTTGATATTTGTATATTGTATTAGCTAAAATACTTATAATGAAAATCCAACTTAAATTATGCTTTTCAGCTTTTACTGAGCAGTGTGTATGACAAATATCTAGCTTTACATAGTGATCAGGCTTTGTTAATAACAGGTATTAAAAGTAATGCAAAATGATGGGTAAAATCTTGTCTCTTCTTAAAATTTACAATTAAACGGGGAAGTTCAGTTTTAATTGAATACCTATATAATAATATTACACTTAGCAATTATAATTTTATAAGCAATCAAAAATAATAATAATAAAAAAAAAAAATTATCTAACGGTATATTGAAACATTTAAATAAATATGTTTCAGTTAATATTCAAAATAATCTAGAAGTAGAATTTACTAGTAATATTAAAGTGTATATAACAAAATCTAAGTTATTCAAGACATTTCAGTTAAAAGTTAAAAACAAGTTTTTACAAATGATTGAACACTAATTTATTATTAATTTGTTCATTGATTAGGTGCTATACATATTTTTTCTTGTTTTGTATTCTACAATATTTTTACTAAGAGTAAAGGGAGGGAGGAAGGGAGGGTTATAAATGATAAGAAACAACTTTTAAATTGATTTTTATTTTGAGTCAAAAATGGTTATGGACCATCGCTATTTTAGTCTATTTTAGTTAAGTATCATTGCAGTAGAACATGGAGTTTATGATTTTATATTAAAACAAATAACATGATACACATTTAATTTAATTATATATTTTTAGTAACGATAAGCCCAAAATAAAAATAAAAAATTGTAGGCACCTGTGCTTACATAATTATCACAAATCATAGATAATACACCCTTAAAAAATAATATAGCATCTAACTGCTGCTCTAATAATAACCAATAGATTTACTATAGTATAAATAATGATATGAAATAAAAATATTAGTATACATACTTGGTGTAATAGTTGGTATATTCATTTTGTTATTAGGTAAAGAAACACTACAAGATCTCAGCAAGTCCTGAGATAATAAAAATCTTGTTATTCAGTTTTTATAAAAATAAATATGTTTTTTAATATAAAATATAATTATTTCTTATGGACAGCATTTGTTTGGCTAAAGTGGTTAGGAGGCTATTCAACTTCAAGGCCCTACTCGATATATTTTAATTTTTGGTGACCTGATTTTATTTTTTTAATTATTTATAAATCAAATAATATTTCATAACAGTAGTTTAATATATATATATATATACAATACTAACAAAGTATACAATCGCAGAAAAATAAAATTATTAATATTAATTTTGTTATAATTAGATATCTTTTTAATCAAATTTGTTTTTTAATGTATTCAAATGTTAAAAAATTAAAGTTTAAAGTTTACAAATGTTTATTAATTTTCACATAATATATGTATTTATAAGAGTATTTTCAAACATTAAGATTATTACAACAAATTTATGTTCAGCCATAAAACAAAGAAATTTGAGTCTATTAATGATGATTGTCAAATGGCAGAAAAATATATAAAAATTAATTGACAATGCGGCCAACTCATAAAATTTATTTAAAGGATAACTAATATAAGTTATGTTACAATATAAGAATCTAATTCTACTTAATTAGTTTTTATACATATTGTTAAAATATTAACATTTTAACTTTCTTCTTACAATTAAAGTTAGCAAAAAATAAAAATTGTGAAAGGATACTTTTAAAAGGTCATTTGAAAAATATAAATTCCTTATAGATCTTTATGTTTATTAAAAAATAAAATTTAATTTATAAAGTCTGTTCCAAAAATACAATTTTTAATTCAAAACATAAATAATAAACTCCATGGTAACATATTATTTATAAATTTTGACAAATGAATAATGTTTTTTAGTACTTGAATAAACATAAACACTATAATTAAACAAATAATTTATTGGGCTTTCTATTTCTTGCTCTTATTCTTTAAAATTAATTTAAATAATATAATAACTATAATATTAAGTAACATTTTTATATATATATAAAAAAAAGAAAAGGATTGATATATTTGAATAAAAAAAAAACTATAAAAATACAATATTATGAACAATTTATTGCACAGACACAATTCAGAAAATTTTTTCAATAATATAGTATTTTTATACACATGACGAGGTGTTTTACATTGAGGCATCAAGCACCAAATAATTACTTAATAGTTAATATTTTAATATAGTTTATATAATTACAAGTCATAAACAAAATCACGTAACTTCTCAAAATATAATTTTGATCAACAACGCTATACTGTGTGTGATAAAACAAGCCATGACATGATAAAATAAAACAAAAATATTGGATATACAGCTAGAGCTTTTTTCCCTTGTGGTTGACTATCTCCAAGGAATACAACAGAAGCTAAAATTAAAAAAAATACAATTTAGAAATTATTTAAAATATTCATATGTTAATTGCTATATATTTACCATATGTGGCCCATAAAAATGAACCAATTGATATGGCAAATCGAATAAAAAATAAGAAATTAGTTTGCTCAAATATTAAAATAAATCTGCATACTATCAAGGCTATAACAATTGGTAACAGACAGTAACCTAAAACACATACACTCTGGAAAAACGATCTGAAAAAAAAATCATCATTTATGTAATAGAAATAATGTTTAATATTTAATTGGTATTCTAGACAAAAAATATTAATGTGAAATTAAATGTGATAATACTTAATATTAATTAAACCATTTTTTTTTTTTTATTTGACTTTTAAATTATATTATTTAATTGAAAATAGTAACATAATACAAAGAGAAGGTATTATGAAAAAAATAAGAATATTATTTTAAAATGTATTAGTACTGTGATATAAGGCTACTATCACAGTATAGATTCATAGTATATCATAGTATAATAAGGCATTATTTTGTGCAAATATTTAAATAACAACTATGAATTCAAACAATTAAGTTGTACTATTTAAAAAAAAAAAAAAGAGTAATATTTTGGTATTTTACTTTAAGTGTAATAAAAGTAATATTATTGATTAAATTTATAAATTATTTCCAAACAACTAAAAAGGATATTGTGAAAAAATGTGTTGTCACTATCTTACTAACGTATAATATACCAAAATATGGAACCAGCTGTTTCAACCTGGTGTGATAAGTTTGAATATTAGAGTGGATTGACCTATAATACGCTTAAAAGTAACAACATTATCTGTTTTCACATTTGTTTATACAATATTTAAATTTTTAAGTGAATTATAAGCATTTATAAATATTAATATTTTACATATTTATAATTAACTCAAAATTTAAATAACTATAAAATTCCAATAAGAGAATACATATATGTTCTTAGCTTAAAGTTTGATAATAGATCAATTCAATTTAATATTTAAGTCAATCACACAAATTGAAACTAAGAAACATACATTTCAGTATGTTATGTGTTAGTAAGATAGAGACAATATATTTTCTTGAATTTTGATAATTACAAAGTTATATTGTGCATATCAATTTATATTATGAAAATGTTTAAACAGAAATAAGATGACTGTATTATTTTCAATTAATAAAAGCCTAAAATTAGATATTAACTCTTGAGTCAATCTAGGTCTTAATTCTAGGTTAACGTTCACAATACAATTCAACAAATTTTTAACACAACTTAATTTAGAGTAACAATTTATAAAAAACAAAAAGTTGATTTTATTAAATATGAAAACAAACAATAAAAAGATGAAGAATACTTACATTGTGCCCCCTAGTAATTTTGAATTTAATGTAATAATCACAGACCCTATCCAAATAATAACGAAAACTTCAGCAAACTCAGGACCTCCATCACCAATTTGTCTGGAATCTGGTGATCCTTGTAGAACCCTTAAATAAATAATTATTATTTTAAATTAATAATAGAAATAATTAATAAACTTACATAGCCATGAATGTGCAAAGCATCAAAGGGCCCCACAAGTCCCCTAAAGATATAATTCATAATTTATTAATGTATAGTATACTGTTAAATATAAAATTAAAATTAATTTCAACCATTATTTTAAACTTACATTCTTTAAGAAGTGTATTTTTTTCTTTTAAATACAAGACATGTTTAAATTTCATTCCAACTGCTTTTAAGTCTCTCATCTAAAATTAATAAATACCAATAATTATACAATAACTATGAATAATAAGTATTATAATTACAATAGTAGTTTTAATGGGTTCATCTAATGTATTGAATCCAGGTTCACCAATATTTTGCATTAGTGATCCAGACACAGTCATTCGTCCTTCAACATTATTCATTGGTCGGTCATCGATAAACTAAAATTAAAAACAAGTGTAAACAATTAGAGACTAGTTAAAAAATAATAATTTTATAATCAACAACTCATACCATTAACTATATTATCTAGTATTAAAAAATAATAATACCTTAAATTTTAACAGGGATTTTATTTAAATTATTCAATTTTACATTGTATTCAAATTAAATTCATTGTTTAATAATTATTCAAAATGTTGATAACTATAATAACTATTTTGCTGTAACTACTTGGCTACTTAGCTATAAAGAATATTTGTTTAAATTATATGTAGATAATAGCCAATAGGTGTACTGAGTGAATAATTATATTATACCGAAGATAATTTGAGAAAATTTGATGATATTCTTATTTTTTATACTATTTATACAATTTACCTCATTTATATTATGCCCATATAATGTTATAGATGAAATCATGTAGAGTTTCTAGTGAGGTTGGACCACAGTCATCTACTCGAGTAGATAACCGTGGGCTGTATATAACCTAATAGTAATATAAATAAATGTATACTTATATAATAGTAAAAGTAGGTAAATACACTTATTAGTTTAATATTAATATAAATCATAATTTTTCATTTTTGGAAATGAGAAATTTAATTTTAAAACATAATATATTGCTTGATAAAATTTAATTGAATTTGGAATATTTTTATTGAATAAAATGTATTAATTTATAATAAATTGAACAATTTATAAAATATTTACTTACAATTGCAGTATGACCACCATTTGGATTATTGAAGTTACTTTGTCCAGTATTAGTATTCAAAAACTAAATATATATAAAAAAAAAAAAATTAATCATACAGAAAATTATGTTTAAATTAAATTTGTAATTTAAGGTTCATTAAAAATTTAAAAATAACAAACAAAATTTTATTTAATAATTTAGATATAAGAATAATATTTCTAGGTACTTATTTAAATGTATATATCATATTATGCGATTAAATGGGCGACTAGTTTAACTAAATAATATTAAAATTCTATGAATTACATATTATAACGTACAAGAATATAAGTTAGCTAAAATTCATAAGAAAAAAATAATAAGAATTTTTTGAAGTTAACATAATAGTGATTTAGACTATTTCAATAATTTTATTAATTATAATCCAAATTTTAGGATTTATTTTGTAACATGGGTAAATATAAAATTTGTAAAAAGTTAACTTGAATTATTTATCAAACAAATGAATAGAAATCAAGTCTTTGGTTGTCTATTAGTTAGATTGTTTTTGTCTTTTCATAAAAAAATTTTTATTCAAATTTATTGTCTCTATTAATGACTTGGAAAGTTGCCCCAACGAAATTACTTTACCTCAAAATACTAAAAACAGAAACACTATTGTTGATAAGATGTGCCAAAACAAGACTTCAGATGCAAATGATTTATACTAATATTATAACAATACAAGAACTGTCCCCATGCACGCTCTAATAGAATACATATAACTACTATAACTAATAATATTTTATCTATTTAGTTATTAAAAACCTTAACATTTGTTTAGCAAATCTGTGCAGGAAATGATTAAAAAATATTATGGTAAAAATTGTAGACTGATTAAACCACAAGTAAATCATTGTTTTATATTAAATACCAATGAATTATTGGAATTATGTAATTAGGTATTAAAATGCTTAAAAATAAATCTTTTACAACAAAAATTTATGAACAAATAATTAAATTGTGTTATGCAAGAAATTATTTGTAAACAAGTGTATATCTGATCTAATTTAATTAAGCTTAAAAATACTTACATCCATTGTTATTATTTAATTATGTGTGAAATAACTAAAGGATACCAAGTATAAATAATGTTGTAGTTTTCATTCGATTTTAGTCAAGTTGTTTAAAATAAAGGAACAATAGTTAGCGCTAATACACATTTTATACGTGGCCACTTAAAACAATTATTATTTATTAAGCAAATTAATTAAATAAAAATTTCAGGCTTAATAGTAAATAGTAAATACTGAATGAGTATAATGAAACATGAAAATGACAAAAAAGAACTGAAAATAGTGAAAATCCAGACGTGTCATGATAAGTGTTATCACAGTTCATCCACTCTCTTTTCATTTCTGAAACCGTGGTTCGTATGTAGATAATCAAATTAGTGACTGATAAGGAGGAATTTGTGATGATAAGTGAGGCAGATGGCAGACAGTGGTTACCAAAACTGTTTTAATAACATTGTGATACAAGAATAGCCCAACGTAGCCGCTAATCTAAAGCATTTATAATTTATAAATGTATCAAAACTTATTTAAACATTTAACTTAGGGACGTAATTTCAGGCTTTTTTTCGGGTGCGCAAGATTTCAAGCAGGTCATTTCATTTTGAAATTTCTCCTGCAAGCCATAAAAAATAGATATACCTACGTATATAATGTGCATTATCCTGTTTTCAATTGTTTCCTTACATCATGGACCAAATCATTGCACCAACTTAAACAATAAAACAAATTCAAAAACTAAAATAAATAATTAATTAATTACCTTAACAGTGAAAATCAATAATCGATGAATAAAAAGCTAGAAGAAGAAATTTAGCTGCAAATAAAAAAAGTATTAAATGCATGTAATATAGCACTTATAAATTGCCGTTTATTTTTTATACTTATAATCTTTGTAAAAGTAAAATACTCAAAAAAAAAAAAAAAATAAAATATTTTAAATTTAAATAAGCGGACAGTGGTGGTTTTTAAGTTTAGCAAATTCGTCTACAGCTTCTTCTAGATTGGTAATCGTTAACTTCTATTTTTTCAACATTCAGTACCATATAGATAACCCATGGTAGTGCGTAAATATGACTTTACTGTTTTGAGCGATGAAAGAAACCTTTCATTTGTTGCCGCTGTAATTGATAAAATTTTTACCAATGAAATAATTTTTAAAGTTTCAACAAAAATAGATTATGTGGGTGGTTGATTTAAAAACAATATTAAAATATGTTGGTAGATTGATAGATCTTCATTAACGTGAAAAATACGATATTATATTCTACTGTTGTATATTATTATATCATAGGGAATTTTGAAATTGAAGACTATAAAAAATAACCACAAATTGTTCAAAATGTCTACGACATACACGTATTAAGAAATTATAAATCGTCGATAATTTATTAAAATTATAAAACCTTGTTTACATAATCAACAACCACGACGTCCAAACATACGCGTTGTCATGATGTTTGTTGATATCTACGCATGTTACCAATTAATTTTAAGCTAGATGCTAGAACAGCCAACGTACGAATGCGCATAATATGTTAAATCGACTTTGAAGGATTATAGTGCCTCTTGCAGTCATATTATACTTACCGACTACCTAATAGAATATATTATAATACAGATGATATTATGTATTTTACTGTTCTTAAGTAATATTATAATAAAAGATTTTCGCACAACTAATTTTAGTATTATTTGTATTATTTTGGGCGTTCGTAATAATATTTTAATGACAAATATTATTGTTAGTTGCCGTACAAAACCATATACAGGGAAAACCGACGATGTTACAATTTTTGACCTCTCGTGTTACTTTACCCGATTTCCCCTAATATGATAATACGCACGCTAGTTCGTTATCGTATTAAATGTCCAATTATTATTGCAAAAATAATGCCTCATATACATAGTACAATCGAAAGAACTAAAATATTATAAAAAAAAAAAAACGTAAAAAATATCATCTTAAAGTATATAACGGGGGATACAGTACAAATCGAAAATCGAAATCTTCATTATAAAATAGTTTATCTTTTACGCGGGTGATGTAATATGTATATAGTATGTGTGTATGAATAATTATAGTAAAGGTGTTTTGAAAGATATAAACGGACCCACGAAATCCTAATGCTGGCCCGAATAGAATGATCAACATGGGTACTCACTGGCCAGTAATAAAAACGACGCTATATCCGTCGTCTTGGAGATATTTGAAATTCTAGGCGACGAAGTCGGGACAATCATAATTCGAGTTCAGTCGCATTTTAGAGTTCAAACAGTTCACTTGCTTTTCTTTACAAATATTACAATACATTTAAATTTCATTATGTCTATCTCTACCACAATCGAAATTATAGTAAACGAGCTAATCCATAACTTACTACAGGATGTCTTTGAGTCCTTTGACGGCTTTGACAGTTCCGAGGGAGGGGAGGTCCAGACCGGTTTATTTCATACAATATCAATTGAAGCGATGGTCAAGTCTTCATCACACGCTGAGGCTTGGCCAATTGAAGAATTCTAAGCGATGGTTTGTAGTTTAGCAATAATGGCTTTACAACAGTAAAGCACTCTTTATCCTCCTTTTTTGGAATTTTCCGGGGTTTGGCCAAACGCTTAATGTGCTCTGACGCTTTTTGCATATTTCGTAATTTTTTGACATGCACTGCATATTTCTGTATTTTACGATTTTTTTTTTTTAATTGCATATATATGGTTTTTAAATGCATAATATTATGTAAAATTTTGCTTATTTTAATTAACATAATGTATTTATAGTCATATTTATAGTCCATATAACCTGGCAAAGTCGTTTTCTTATCTTATCTGAGACCTATTGGGACAAGTAGTAATCTGTCATTGAGTATATTGTAATGAATCATACATTCGTCGTGTTTGTCGTGATCCGTGTGTGCATAACTTTCATTTGATTTTATTTATCTATACTTAAGGGTCGGGTCGTGACTATGTAATAAGGAGCAACATTTAGGCAATCTGTATGCTCTGATGCTGTTCAAGCAGAGATGGAAATATTAATTGGGATGTGCAATGTTAGTGGATTTTTAAAAATAATACAAACCCCGCAAACGCAAATGGTGAATTTAGTGCTTGTATTCCACTGAAATATTGGTTAGGTTTGTTCGAAGACTTTAAAAAAATATTAGTTAATTCTAGATTAGAACTAATATTAACTCGAAGTCATAGTGATCTGAATGTTTTAATAAAAGTTGAACATGAAGATGGAAGTAATACTAATTCTGTAAAAGTCGTTTTGAATAAAATAATTTGGAAGGTACCACATATCACTGTTGATGATGAAGAAAGATTGAAATTATTAAAACTTATAGAAAAAGAAAAAAGTTTGTTTATGAAGTTGCGCATTACCTACAAATACTGGCCACATCACAATATCATTAAATCGTACCTATATACCATATTTCACAGAAGCACCCCATCAGATTCATGGTGCATAAAGGCCCTGATCCTCTCAAAGAACCATGCAAGTATAAGTCCCGCCTCCACGCAACCACTGAAACTGGCGTGTCTTCTTCTGCTCTAAGATATGAAGCGTCAGAGCACATTAAGCGTTTGGCCAAACCCCGAAAATTCCAAAAGAGGATAAGAGTGCTTTATCGTTGTAGCCGGCCATTGCTAAACCACAAACCATCGCTTAGAATTTGCCGTTTCAGCGTGTGATGAAGACTTGACCATCGTCAATTGATATTACATGAAATAACCGTCTGAACTCCTCCTACTTCACGGTCTACCTGACTTCAACCCATTCCTTCCACTCCTTATAATGGGCTCCCCACCTTACGTCCCGCTTCCATATCGTACGGAATGCGGTTACATCATAGGTTATGTCATATACAATCGGCGGTAATACATCAATAAGGCGAATTTAATATTATCAATAAAATCTGGCTACATTTAATATCATCATGTAACCTGTCGCGCTGGTTGCAACATTATTATGAGTAATGCACAATGCGGCGTTTATAAATGTTATATTATTGCGTAAGGGTTGTAGCACTAATATATATACGTACAGTATATATTATGTATATATATGTATAGTACATACAGGTTGTTTTCACCAACAGAAGAAAATAGTACCTATAGATTGTGTTATGATAACAGGTGCAGTATGTACTGGTATGTTCGCTGCACTTTTGGGCAGGAGATTTTAAAGTCAAGGGGAATATCCCCTTGAGTCATTTTCACCTGTGTAACACGGCAAACAGATATTTTTAAAACATATTCATGTTTTTCAAAATTTAATCTTACGTATACAAATTATACAATTCTAAAAACATTATATAGGATGCGATCTGGTTAAATAAAACAAAGAGTATATTTATTAATATAAGGCACTTATTTAGTATTTTAAAATCAAAACATTATACACAAGTTTTCTTTACTTCTAGTGTACATAATTTACAATGCGATCATGAATTACTTCAACACAAGCAGTTACACCTGTAAGAGATTCTGACGCTTGATTTCCAATTGAACATCTACTGATGAAGCTGTAAATGAATCCATTTTGTTTTAAAGCATCATTAAACTATAATAATTTGCATTTGATAGAAAAATAGAAGGACCTACATCGGGTTCAAATACTTTTTCATAAATGATTCTTGAAACGATGTATTACATATCATATAAGGTAAAATTATTTTTGCAAAATTCAATTTAAATTATCATATCGATAAGCAATTGAGTTTAAAACTTAACGTTTGTTAAATTACAATGATCAAATACACTACACCTTTTGTTAATACATTTTTACGTCCTTCTGCAATCCGGGATTATAATAAACGAGGTTTTTAATGAAGCAGTTTTCAAGTTCCATACAACTTTTTAGTGGTTCCAAGTCTGTGATATCTGAAAGTCAAAAGACCTGAACAGG